GCCGGGCAAGGGAAGGGTGTTCCCGCTGCCTGAGTCGCTTTGCTCCCGGGCAAACGAGCAAAGCCGCCCAGGTGGCGGCTTTGCTCGGGTGTCCCTGGTCTGCTGGGGGGTCCAGCGGCTTTGATGGACCCCCCCAGCAGACCAGGGAGACAGGGAGAAGCTTTTCTGGCCCGGAGGACACGGGTGGCGACCCGCCGCCCATGAGCTCCGGGGCGAGAAAAGCCCCGTTCGTAAGTGCGGATCCGCGTAAGTCGGGGACTGCCTGTATAGTATTAAAAGCCCAAGTGATCATTACAGGTGAGGAAAAATTAAGAGCTAAAGGAAAGATCATTATTCCTACCTTGCCATGGCTATGCCAACCACACAGCCTCCAACTATGGACCAGAATCCAATCCAACCTGCATCTACCTGATGGAAAACAGCAACGGGGAATGAAAGTGTTAAAGACGAGAAAACAAGACACTACTTTGAAAAAAGGAGGTGGAGGGGTACTGAAAACTCCCAGCAAAAAATTGACAGATTTTTCCAACAAATTCAAAGGAAATATAATCAGTTAAAAGAACAAGGTCACCTAGTCTATGCCCTGAATATGACCTCTCTCTATATTGAAATCCACTAGGGACTGTCATCTGGATTTCTATAATACCCTATTAATTAGAGGCTTAAAAATAAAATTTTCATCTTCTACTGATTTTAATCTTTTAATTTGGCAAACACTGGTTCTCTTTTCCTTCTCTGTGTGTGAAGGTATAGCAGCCAACAGTACTCCCTTTTATTTATTTGACTCTTTATTAACATCAATAGGTGTATACAGGTCTGAAAATATGAACTGCCACAGTACAATCCGCAGGGGGAGCCACAATTATTTTTGGTATGTCAATGATAATGGTTTTTTTTTTAAATGTCTCAGCAGAGAAGTGGTGCATATATATTGAGTTCCAAAAAAATACTGAGAAAAGTTAAAGGTAGGGAACATGTATATCAGCTCAAACAGCATTACAAATCTAACAAAATACTTATGAAATATAGCAGCTGCTACATGTAAATACTTACTTGGTTGACATGTACTGGCGTTAATATCAAGTCCAGAACACCAGACCAGCCAGAGAAAACACCCAGTGGTATAGCATAGGCTAATGCAATCATCAAAAACCGGAAATTGCTGTTAAGACAACAAATATGCAGTTAGCTGCTGTATGTGTTAGAAATAGCTCTGAGATTAACTCTAGAGTAAACTGTATCCTAGAATCTATATTCCTACCAATTGAGAATGAAAGTTGAAATCTAAAGAGTGAGTAAGAAAATACAAGTATAGTATTTGTCTAGTTCACTGAAATTCCAAGTGCTGTGATGTTACTGCCTAGGACTAAGGATGTTAAGAAGTGGGTAACTAACTGTGTGTTGATACTGACTAATCGTGTAGTCGATGCAAATTGTAAGAGGAGGTGGGGTCCAGGAGCTACCCCTGCAGTGGCTCTGCAGTTTAAATGTAGTAGGAGCCGGGCCCGCAGGCAGCCCACCTCCTACTACATTTAAACTGCAGAGCCACAATGGGGTAGGTCCCATACCCAATGTGAGCTGGGAATGAGCAGTTCCAGCTAACGCCGGGTCCCGGACTGCTGTGCCTCTGCCTTTAAAATGTAGTAAGAGCCGTCTGGTTCTTATTATGTTTAAAAGGCAGAGCTGTATCGGGGTAGGTTTGGGACCTGGCACAAGCTGGGGCTGAGCAGTCCCAGATCGTGCCAGGTCCTGGACCTAACCCCACTGTGCCTATACCTCCCATGCCCCCCCACCACCACAGAGATGGTGCTGGGGGGAACCAGCTTTTAAAGCCAGCTCTCCTCCTAGCACTGGTTCCTGCTTTCCTCCCCCTTGCTGCCTTTGATGCAGAGGCAGCAAGGGAAGGGGGCAAGACCCGGTTAGCTTAGGCTCATCAGGTATTTCACTACTCGACTAGTCGCTTACATCCCTACCCAGGGTCATGATATTAAAGAAAAAGCATATTCTCTGTATATCAATGGCATCATCTTGATTTTTGGAACATGCTAGTCTCTCAGACTTTCCTTTTCTTCACAAGAAATTAAGTGTTTTTATGCTATTTTATTATATTATGGTCTATGCAATGTTATCATTAAAAACTAATAAGCATAAATTCAGAATGAAAAAGCATATTTCATGTATAAAAATTCAGAGATTCATATTCTTCAAATTATCTTGCTGTTTACTTTTTTTGGAAAAAAGGACATTTACTGTATTCTCTCCTTGCCCTTCTAAACGTAAAACTATTTTGTACTTAAACAAAAATACTATAAATCAACTCTTTGGAATACACATACAGAATGTAAAAAACAATTTACAATTATATGTGAACTTTTATGCAAGTCTATTAGTGAAATATACTCAGGCAAACAAACCTCACTGGTGAAATAGGCAAGTATTTTTACTTAAGGGACATGTTTCCTTCATAAGATCCTAAGTTAAATTCACAAAATATGCACATATAAAAGGAAACTCTGCCACACATTTTGAGGCAGACACTGGCTGAGAATACATAATTACTGTATATACTCGAGTATAAGCCGAGTTTTTCAGCACAGTTTTTGTGCTGAAAAATGCCCCCCTCAGCTTATACTCGAGTCAGCCTCCTGCTCGCGGGCGGGCTCAGCGCGTCTCTGCCGCCGGCCGGGTCTAGACGCGTGAGCCCGGAGCTCCGGCCCCCCAGCCCCTGCCCTCCTGACCCTCTCAGCCCCCCTGTCCCCTTGTCCCCCCCAGTCCCTGT